CTCTCTCTCGGAGTCCCTTCCTCCCTTTCTATTTTTTCCGTCTGAATTCTATCCTATCCTATCTATATTTCTTACCTTCTACCCCTTCCTAAACCTGTTCCTTTGCTGTTATCACTGGATATCATTGTGTATAACGTATTTTGATTTCTTTTTGATTTTGAAGTACATAATCTATGACTTATATCAAAATCTGTTCGTGTCTATGCTTCATAAATTTATGAATTGACATGACTAACCACAAGTTATTTCCTTCTAGTACAGGATGAGAGACATCACTGTCTGTAGAGGCGGCAGTATACTGAAAGACGGATATTATTTCTTCCCTAATTGAGTGAACTCTTTTTCGCTTGTTAGCGCTCGGTAACGAGTATCCAGACGACGCACATACAGTCCTCACACGAGTCTTCGGTCCGCGTGGAGTCTGTGGTGCAAGGGGGCACCGCGGAACAGACCTTCGCTGTGGAGTCTGTGGTGCAGGGAGGCAGCGTGGGGCAGTCCCTTGCCGTGGAGTCCAGCCACGTCGAGGCTATCGCAGACATTCCGAAGGAGGAGGCACCGCCAGTAGAAGAATCACAGCCGGAACCCGAGCCTCAGCCGGCCGAGCCCCAGCCAGTCGACGAGAACGCCAACGCCATCCCGGAGGAACAGGAGGCCCAGCCACAGCAGGAACAAGCTGAAGAACACGCCCCAGAAGAGCACAAAGCCGAGGAGCAGGAGCCAGTGCCAGCCGCTGCTGAAGAGGTTCCGGCAGAAGCAGAATCGGTGCCGGCGGAAGAACCGGCTGCCGAAGCCAGCGCCGACGCGGAAATCAGTCAGGAGAACATCAAGTCCCAGCTGCACGAAATCATCAGCGAGATCGAGGAGCAGGTCCAGCCCGAGCACGATGAGGTACACAAAGATGAGGTCGTAGAGAGTCAACAAGTAGATGTCGCAGTAACTCCTGCCGAGGAGACTCCGCCGGTGGAGGAGGCGCCCGCGTCTGAGGAGGCCGTCGAAGCTCCTGCTCAGGAGGTCGAGGAAGCCGTTGAGGCCCCTCCGCAGGAGGTCGAGGAGGTCGTGGAGGCCCCTGCGCCGGAGGTCGAGGAGGCCCCTGCGCCAGTGGTCGAGGAGGCCCCTGCGCCGGTGGTTGAGGAAGCCCCTGCGCCGGTGGTTGAGGAGGCCCCTGCGCCAGAGGTCGAGGCGGCCGTTGAGGCCCCAGCACAGGAGGTCGTGGAGGTGCCGGCACAGGAGGTCGAGCCAGTGGAGGAAGAGGTTAAGAGCGCTGAAGAGGCGGTGTCGCAGGAGAGTAGAGCTGTGCTTGAAGGAAGTGAGGGAGAGGCGCTGGAGGAGGGGAAAGAGCTGATGGTGGAGGAGGAGGAGCAGGAGAGATACGAGTATTACGATGAGGTATTTCGCTTCGCTTTTCCGCGCCGCTCCCCCTCCTGCGTGCCCACCATGCACCTCACAGGCATGCAAGCTTACAGACATGAATACATACACATGTAGATGATAACATTTCCTTTCTATAACACAGACATGCATACGTACACATACACATATATACAATAACATTTCCTTTCTATAATATTATTTTTCATGTTATTACACAAAAACCATTACTTGCAATGGAACACAAGAATACTGTAACTATAGGCCCTCCCACTAAAACAGACATATGCAGTGCAATTGGTTCCTGCACACAAACATACATACATACACGCGTCCACACACACACACACATATATATATATATATATGTATATATACATATGTGTGTTTGTGTATGTAAGTGTTAGTGTGGGCGCGTGTATGTATGTATGTGCACGTATGTATGTATGTATGTATGTATGCATGTATGTTTACATCTATTTGTATATGTGCGCACACTCACACAGGCACATACAAAGCCACATGCTGCCTCTCTACTATCTCTTCACTGTAAGTAGACAATTTCACTGCCAATCTCTTTTGCTGCATTGAAGACAAACTCATTAAGTCAACGAGGTCTCTGCTGCAGTAACTTTGCTTGCACCGGCCGCAGGAACACAGCTTTCGCCTTCCTTTTCTCACACGGAGACAAGGCCATCGACACCCTCCTTCCCTCACACAGCACATAAAGTTGCTTCTTGAGCCAATTTTCTTTTTCTTCTCTCCAAGCAAAGAACACCGATTTTGCTTTTCCTTGCTTTCCTAGCTTGGCCTTCCCTCAGACTGTGAATGGAAAATGCTTTGATTCTTTACCTCCTTCGTTTCCGCAAAGGACGACAATCTGCCCTTGCAGGATCAGCCACTTTCCTTCCTCTGCGTTCGGGCTATGAGCTCCGCCTCCACTGGTCCCTCCCGAAATAAGTGATTCCCGCTAATGATTGGCACTGTGTTGAATCCGAACCACGAAATCCCAATTTGAATTCCAAAATATTGGTACTTCCTCACTCCTTCATCCTCCTCACACACACATATTAAGATTTACATGGAACTGTGTTGAATCCGAACCACGAAATCCCAATTTGAATTCCAAAAT